TGTGCCTGATTTCTTCCCTCCTTTTTTTTTTTTTCTTCTTCTCTCCGTTCTGTCTATGTCCATACCCTGTTCCTTGTTTTTTCTATGACATTTTCATCAGTGGAAAAGAAAGAAAAAGGAACTGAAGGACACAAAAACTTAGAATCAGCTATGTCCATTTTGATTTACTTTTGCAGAATAAAATTGCACCTTTCTGTTACAGATATTCAAATACTTTGAGATAGTTGTTTTCAATATAGAATACTTTTTCAACTTCATTGTTTTTTGACATGACATTCTTATATTGAACAACTATAAATAATGTCGGAACTGAATTGGTACACTATGCCGTACATTCATGACCAATTCTGACATTAGTTAGTCGCAAAATAATTGTATTTCAGAACTCATAAAAATATTTGATTGAAGAATTTATTAAAATAAAAATAGAAAATTCTTTCTCTCTTCATTAACGTTTATCCTTGACTAAAATTGAACTAAGGCAGTTAGCAACTAATTTCGGTGTCCTAAAATGAGGCATAAGTTAGCATCTATTTGGTTATGGTGTAGATTTTCTATTATCATTTTAATCTACATGTTGGTTCGAAAGTCTTGTCACCCCTACGTAATATCATTTTCTATTTTAGATGGCTGACACGAGCTCCTACAGTTTAGAAAAGAGGCTGCTTGCAAATATATGGATACATGATGGTGTCGACTCTAGCAAGACGATATGCAACATGACTGCATTGCCAGATTCGGCAAACCAACTCCTCCGAAGAGGACGATACTGTGACGGGGATGACAAAACTATCCGATCACCCTGTATGTTCTATGTAATAGTGATCATTTTAATACCTGCGCCAAGTCAAACAGTTTTAATGGATATTTTAACACTCTTCGGGTCCGTTCTGTCACAATCACAATGTTTCGACCGGTGACTTCTCCAGATATCTATCCTGTAGTCTATAGCCTTCTGGTAACTTGGAAGCGAACCTTTTGTTTAATTGACGCAGGTGAGATGTTCACATAAGGGAGATAACTCGTAATAGTAAATTTATCCTAATGCTGCCGCTTCTGCTCGTTCCACTGGAGAAAATTCCGATATGAATGTTTACTGCCTGAGACAGGGATTGAACTGACAGCCACCAGGTAAACTGAATTTTATCTTATAGTTTTCCTTATTTAAAATATTGTTTGGGTGTAAGTTTTGGTTATGCAAAGAGCAATAAAAAATTATGCACAAATAAATATAAAAGATCTGTCATAAAAATATAAAAAAGGACCTCCAGTCGATTGTGAACTGGGGCAGGAATTGGCTGGTTAACTTTAATGCCTCAAAAACAAAACTGCTCTCTATTACTCATCACAGAGAACCATCCCTGCACCCCATTAGAATGTCTGACGCTCAACTTCTTGAGAGCTCCTCTTTGCGATTATTCGGTCTCATATTGACTGCTGACCTGAGATGGAACAAATACATTGAGTCAATAGCTTCGTCCACCGCAAGGAAAGATGGCTCTCTGTGCCGCGCCAGGAAATCTTTCTCGCCAGAGTCGATCCTTCAAATCTACAAATCAACCATTCGCCCTTGCATGGAGTATTGCTGCCATATATGGTCTGGTGCCCCTTCTGTTTGTCTCAAGGTTCTTGATAAGATCCAGAGACGGATATGCAATGTAACTGGCCCTGATCTGGCATCTCGTCTGCAGTCGCTCTCTCACAGACGTGCCGTTGCCTCCCTCTGTCTTTTTTACAAATACTTTCACGATAACTGCTCCGATGAGCTGCTTTCGCTGGTTCCCAGATTTCATGAATTTAAGCGTTCAACTAGGCTGGCATCTCGCTCTCACCCTTTCACTGTCGAATCTGTTAAATGTAGCCGTCTCTTCTACTTTAATAGCTTCGTTTCTCGCACTTCTCGTCTGTGGAACTCCCTCCCCTTTTCCTGTTTCCCTGATAACTATAATTTCCAACTATTCAAATGTAATGTCAATCGATGTCTCCAGATGCATTTATCTATCCCCTATCCTTCTCTCTATCACCCCTCTTTGCTCTCGCTCCAACTCTCTGTATATATATATATATTGCTACTAACCCGCATTCCTGGGACTACTAACCTGCATTACCAGTTTGTATTATTGCATTAATACATTATTTTCCTATATTCCTTCTTGGCGTTTGTTATTTATTGGTACCGGATTTCATCCAGGAATCCACAACAATATATATATTCAATTAATATCCTCTTCACGTTAATAATTTCTTTTAGTTTTTAATTTCACATTTACATATGTGTTCGTGGATATTCTGTAAACCTAATCAGTTTTTTCATCATTGATTTTAACTTTCCGACTATTTATTTACTATTATTATTATTATTATTCCTTTGATTTCTGATGTATACTCATTCCTTTCTGGGTCTCGACTATGGACCTAAGCTCAGAAATAGCATCATGATTTTTTCCACTGAGCAATTTAAAAGCAATCACATATTTTATATAGATAATGCCCTTCGTAAAGCGTGGGCTGTACAAATGAGAACAATTTTTGTAATTCTTTAAGACATGAGCTGTCAGGAATCCCTTCAATGTATGGCAGAGTGAAAAGTGTTCTACATAAATCTGCTCTTTAACTTAATGCTTCTTGAATGTGTAACGTATCATTAAAAATGACTTGTTCAAGAAGTTACAAAAATTCTCTGTGGAAGGGGTGTGACAACCACCCCATATTTTGCCGCACGTTTAACTTTTGCATAATCACTCCATCTCTCATCAAAACCTTTTACAGCCTGCATTACTTCATCTCTCCAAAGCTCTCTAGCCTTCGTTTTCTCTTCCCACGTATTAGGATCAATGCCGGCTTTCTGCGGTCTTTTACGTAATCTTCATACCGCTTACGGGACTTATCGACTGGTCTCTTGCCATCTTTTAGCTCACCAAACATGACCTACTTAGTCATCCTGCCATCCTCAAGTCAAACCATATGGCTACACCATCGGAAGCAGTATTTCGGGATCATGGATTCAATGTTGGAAATGCCGGACCTTACAAGGACGACTATCTGGGATATAAGACTACCACGGGATTAATGACCGTAGACATTTTTGATGGAAGTGTTGCAGACGTGTGATACGTCTTCTATAAGTTGTCCAGGTCTTGCAGCCATAGAATAAAACTGTCAACACACATGCTTGATACACACGCAGAAAGGTTCTAAATATAATCTCCCATGTAACATTTGTGGTCGTATCTGTCTATCTAAGGCAAGTCTGACTAGCCGTTCAAATTCTCACAGGTTGCCTGATGCTGCAGTCTTTCTCGAAAACTTCATCTGCACAGTCTGTGAAAGGGGGAGTAATGCTATTGGTTTAACAAGGCATTTTAAATCGAGGTATCCTGACCAACCAACTGTTAGCGATCGATAAACATGCACCAACTGTATCGTCAAGTGCAACTTAATGCAAGACCTAAACAGTCACCTGTGAAGACGCCACAGACAAAGCATGCATCAGTAGTGATCAAAAATGTAAAAGCGTTCAAATGAAGGTGGAAAGAGTTCATGAAGTCACCATACTGGGTCACGAGTGGACTTCTACTATATATATATATATATATATATATATATATATATATATATATATATATATATATTAATCAATTCACCCGGAGCAAGGTGATAATACGACTAAGACGCATGGGGCTACTAAGAATGAAAAGATTTTAGAAGAAAACAGAAACCATATCTTAAACAGGGAACAAGGAATAAACTTCTACTCATGTTCAAAAGATTAAGGTGGTGTATGAACAGGGCGATAGGCTAACCCATCTACTCCTATTGATGAGAAGAAAATATTTAGCAAATCAAATTCCAGTTCCACATCAGTAAGACAGAGTTGAAGTAGGCTTTATAAGAAACCTGAAACCCAATCCTAAAAGGGAGACAAGGGATAAACTTCTACTTCTGTTCAAAAGACCGTGTAGGTGAATGAACCGGGCGATAGGCGAACCTGCTTCCAATACGATGAAAAATTCTTCAGGTGTATAAAATTTCACATCATGGAATAAGTTATTGTAACTATTTCTACCAGCTGAAATCACGTGGCATATTTACCAATTTATATACTCACCGGTCATTTTATTAGGTATATGCTTCTAGTTTCAGGTTGGATCACCTATTGCATTTAGAAACGCGCCAGTTATTCTTGGCATGGTGTTGACGATATTTTGGAAGCATTCTTAAAAATTTGCGTCCATGTTTTTTTTTATTATGACACCCCGCGATTCTTTCAGATTGTTTGGCTGCAGATCCAACATTCGAATCGCTCTTTCCACCACAACCCAAAGGTACTCCCTGAGATTGAGATCTGTGGACTTTGGAGCTCATTTTAACATGCAAAAAATACTTATTGCTCTGTTCCATGAACCAATCTGTCACTATTTTTTTATTTGTGACACTGTGGGATGTCCTGTTAGTAGTGGTCATTAGAGGATGGGGGGCAGCAAAGTAATAA